ACTATCCGAATCTGCTGCCAGCTCCGCTGGCCACTGACAGGCCACAACAACTATTCTCTCCTAAAGAGCAATTTAAATGACTTTGTAAAAAAAAAAATGGGGGGGGGGGAACAAGGCATTTTATTATCAGTAGTAACTGTACTCAAGGTCTCAAAACAGGCAACCCCATTCAATTGTAGGGTTCCATTTATGGAGACATTGTAAAATACATTGTAATTTGTGTGACATTATTTGGATTTTTTTGGACTGCTTTGTGAGTATCTGCCTTCAAGACAGTGTTGAAATTTCTTTAGTTTTCTTTTTGGAGGTGTTTTGTCCTTGCCTTCTTCCTAGGGCAGAGAGAAAGGGACTGGCCCTAGGTCACCCAGCTGGCTGTGTGCTTAAGGCAGGACTAGAACTCATAAGTCTCCTGGTTTTAGCCTGGTGCCTTAACCAATACACCAAACTGGCTCTAGCCCCCACCTTCTCTTGTTCTGTTTCTCTCTCTATAATAGTTTTTATTCATTTTTATTTGCGTGCATTTTCAGTGAGTTATTTATACACATGTTTTCCCCTGCTGCTGTATTTTTAAAAAAAAATATCTTGTAAATAATTCTGCAATCCACTCAGCAAGTTCTAGTTACTGGGCAGATTAAGGCTAGGAAGCTACAGAGCAGGGATGGGGAACGATGGTCCCTTTTATCATTTGTGGACTTCCACTCCCAGGATTCTCGAGTCAGCATGGCTGGCTCGGGAATTCTGGGAGTTGAAGTCCACAAGTCACAAAGGGGCCATCGTTCCCCACCTCTTCTATAGAGCAATATTGTATTCTATGCAATAGAAAAGGACAATAAACTTGGAAGTATTACCATGCCCCCTGCAGCCTACCTGGAATGCCAGAAGAAAGAAGACTCTCTTCTAGGGAACTACTCCGACTCTTGGGCCGAAACTGCTCTTCATCACTGGATCCAGTCACGGTAGTCTCCGAGAGTGACAATTGGCTCGCCCCATCTTGTAAGAAGTATTGGGAAAGCTCTGTTTCAGAATTGAGGGAGTTCTGCTGAAATAAATACAGAGAGAGAAAATGGGATGTTGCAGCCATCAATCCCCAAGACCAATGGACCTCAAACTTTCCGGTTTGGCAGCCCAGCAGTGGGGAGGGGGGAAAAGGGGATGGTTCTGTGTGGGTGGCAGGGGCACACACAAGTATGCACAGCTCCATTTACACAAGTGCGGAACTTTGCAGGTGAGCACATATGCCTGCTGCTTGCCCAGTTGGAGGGGGGGTGCAGCCCGGGGGTTTGGGGACCCCTGCCCAAGACAGGAAATCATCCATGCTAAAAGTTCCTGCTCTCTTTCCTATTGTTTTTCTTTCTCAAATGGTTCGTTCCTTTAGATCAGCGTTTCTCAACCTTGGCAATTTTAAGATGCGTGGACTTCAACTCCCAGAATTCCTCTAGATCAGTGATGGCTAACATTTGCACACATGCATGCCCACAACCATAATGCAATGTGCATGTGACCACCCACTGTGCAGGCCCCCTGCACGCGCATGTGTGACCCCCATGTGCCGCACCACCCGCACATGCACCCTGCCCCCTCTCACCCATTTTTGACTTCCAGATTGATTAAGAAGGACTAACCCCCCCCCCTTGCCCCATTTTGAGCCTGGAAGGTTTCCTGCACCTACCTAGAAGCCAAAACAGGGTGCGGGGGTTTGCACGCATGCCCCCTGTGCCCCGTTTTGGTCCTGGAAATCCTCCTGCACTAATATGGAAGCCAAAATGGAGCACGGGAGCACTGCACAAGGCCCCAAAGTGCAATGTGAACAGCCCCAATGTATGCGCCCTACCCTCTTGTGCATGCGTGCATGCATCCCCCGCATGTGCCCCACCCCTATGCATGCACAGCAGAGACCCAGAGACCAGCTGGCCAGCTGGAGGCACAGAAGCATGCATGGTGGAGCTGGGCAGCGATTAGCATGCCCGCAGAAAGGGCTTTGCATGCCACCTGTCGCATACATGCCATAGGTTCACCACAGTAGTGGGTTTCAAATTTTTTTAGAACCTCTTATGTAGGTGTGGCCTTTGTGGGAGTGGCTTGCCGGCCATGTGACCAGGTGGGAGTGGCCAACTTGTAAAATGTGGTAAAACTCACTTAACAACGCTCTT